AGGAATGAGTGCATGAAGCTGGGCTAACACAATGCTGGCTGCACAAAAGGTGGCAAACAAGACACATTAGAAGCCCAATTAATTAATGCAACAAGGAGCAGCAGCAGCCACCACTCACCCAGCTGCAAACTGACATGCAGACTCATGCCTGGGAAGGGACGTGGCAATTGCTGCGGTTTCCCTGTGCCAGCCTATCTGGATGATGAAAACCAGGGACATGCAACCATCAGGTTATTGCTAAAATCTAACACCAGACTACAGGTTAAGTTACACAAGTGCAAACTTGAGCAACTTCTTGACCCAGACCTAACAGAGATGCTCCAGGAGCGATTCACCAGCAGGACCTCGCCATCCTGCCTTGGCATACTAAAGGTGCCATAAAAAAAAAATGAGGACTTGGGGTAAGTTTCTTTCACTTAACTTCTCCCAGGGTTTTACTTGTGTTCCCAACTCTTTATACAATTCTCCTAACTGCCAACTTTCCCTCGACACGACTGTAATTTAGTCAAACGCTTCAGGAGACGCAGCAGTGACCTGTGGGGCAGCCGCCCTAACCACAGGGCCCAGAGCCAGTACCTCGGGTTGGTCCTTTCACCAAAACCACACACACACACTTATACTCCAGACCACATCTACAACTAACCCACAGCTACCAAGAACATCCAACACTTTGGACAAAGAGCCTATGGACTTTTAGAAACTGCACCTTCTCCTCCCTCCCCAGACATCAGGTGGCCACATCTGCCCTTGGAAGTGACCAAGGAGGGGGACAGAGACAACAGACCCTGCAGAGAGGCATCAGCATCTCGGATTTCCTGGTCTTCAGTGCAAAGCTGAATCCCCTTTTGTTGCTTGTTTTTCTTTTAAGGACATTTCATGCTTTAAATAGTTTTTGCAGGTGGCACAGTACCTTGATCCATTGCTAATGAGAATGCTTTCCCGTATCGTCAGCGTGCAGTAATACCACACTAACAGAAAGTTAAACACTTCATCTGTCACCCTGTTAGATAGAAAAAACACACAGGAAAAAAAAAATTCCTGTTAATTATAAAGACACATTCAAAAAATCCCTATTTTCCCTCCCTCCCCTTGGGCGAATGAAAACCTGCCCAAGTAAGCCACGGACATGAAGCCCCAGTCCTGAACATCTCTAATCCACATGCAGACCCGCGAGCATCGGCAGCACTGCCGGGCTCAGAGTCTTTTCCTCTGGGAAGCGCCCCGTGATATAACACTGCAGATCTTGAGCTGATAAGCAGGTACGCAGAGATAACATTAATTCCTTCTGAAGGAAAGAAAGCACCATGGAAGCAGCGGGTGATCCAATTTAGAGAGGCATTTCCAGGCTAATTCAGTGAGGAGATTCCATGAGATCTATACAAATCAAATCAACTAAAAGAGCAGAAGAGCATTGCACTCTGGGGGGAAAAAAGCCTTTATTTTGCTATTTGCAAACCCCTGAAGCCAAGGGGATTTGGGGCAGCCTCTGCATATGGCAGCATCGTTCTTTGATACGATCCTGCATTCGCCCCAGACGCAGAGAGACCTTAGTGGAAGTGCCCGGCTCCAACACCTTCCTGTTTTTTAAGCAAAACTGAATAGAGGAAGCTCGTTAGTGCTCAGATACTTTATCATGACCTAGAGACAACGTTTCAGGTCTGATCATTTCATGCAAATGCTCTCTTGTTGCGTTTGCAACCCCAGAGCTGCAGTACGGTGCTGGTCCCTGCCTGGGACAACCCATCATGAGCAAAACCAACTGCTTGTTCCTGAGCACAGCATGATGCCAGAAAAACAACAGATCAGGAAACACAACATTGGACTTCTCTTAGTTACAAGAGACTCCAAAAAAAGTTAAACAAGGAAAAGCAAGTAGCTACAATACAGGTCCTGCCAGTGTTAAAGAAGAGGTGCAGAAGCTGTCCTGCTGTCCCAACTGCTCAAAGCCTGAATGCCGCCAGAGCCCGTCTCACCATCCTTAACAGAAGATAAGTTAGTTCAAACCCAGCAGATTTTTATTCAAAATATTTGATTAACAGTAAAAATACATCCTACCTGTAGTGGAGAATAAACCTGCAGGCGACGGCCCCGAGTAACAAGATTATCGTCAGATAAAGTTTGAACTTCTCATACTCGTCCTTGTAGGCGAACCTGGAAGGGAACAGCCGCCGTTTATGGACACAAACGGGTGTTTTACCAGAACGTGGCTTCACATTTTTCAAACAAGATACAAATCCACCTGCCAAGCCCAGAGACAGAGGTTTTGCTTGAAACATTTAGAAAACCAGTGGACGGTGGTGAAAGGCAGCGTTCTGTCTGCAGGGTCCGTCTAGGCTGCACAGCCACTATGCTGCAAGACAAAGGCTTAAGTCCATAAGAGCTGGTTTCTGGGTTGGCATAAGATTAAAAAAAAACAAAACCACCTCCCTCCCCCCCATTTTCTAGAGCACCATATGCCTAGAAGTCGCAATACCAGTTTTCATTGCAAAAAAAACCCCTTACAATTAAGGCAACAGGCTGGGCTTAAAGGCAAGTGATGGACAGAATCCACTGGAGCTACACGAAGCGTTAGCATGGCCCGTGTCATTGTCCAACTTGCCCACCCTCGACATTTCATCTTTTATCAGATCGAGGAGAAACCCATTCCCATCTCTGGACTTCAGTCCCTAACCACAGCTGCCCCCAGAGAAACCCAAATTCACATGCGCGGAAACGCTCACTTACTTTGCTTGGTTACTCAGGAGAGTTACATTCACGTTTCCCAGCACCAGATTTAAGTACAAGCTGGAAGACAAAAAACCAAGAGCAGACCCAAGTAAGTCGTTTTATTTGAGCACCGCAGGATGACCCAGATGGGAGCTGAAGAGACCGGCATATCTGCCACAGCCACATTTGCTGTAGGTTTTTAATTAAGGCAAACTGGAGAGACAGACTACAGAAGAGGATTTAAACGTGGAAAGATTGGTCAGCATTTCCAAGGAGTTAGAGAAGAGGTTTATTTTCCTGGTCCCTTTTCTGCACTACAGTCTAAGGGCGATATGTAGTGTGCACTGTCCAAAACCAAAAATAACGGGGAGAAACTGGAAGAAAAGTTTCTGATAGAAACTTCTGAGGGGCTACAGCATCACACAGCCCTTGACAACTGAAAGAAGTCTGTCCTAGCAACCCCGCTTGAAGCAGAGTATTAAATTTAAAGTCTGTTGAAAACACTACTTTAAAAAAAAAAAGAGAGAAAGTTCTTGTGCTGATTTAGTCTTAAAAAATTAGCACAGGAAAACATCAGTGTGAAACAGTGAATTGCACGATCTCTCGCCAAGGCAGGGTTACTTTTATTTTAACAAGAAAACCTGTGCTGCCTACACAGTACATTTATATACACTTCCAGCTAATGAATTCTGTATACAACTGACACAGCAGCTCAGCAAGAGATTTATGACTAATCGTTTTACATGTATTTCTTCAACATGCACATTATCCTTCGGGAACACTGCTGCAAACACTTAAAAAAATCAGCTTTCCCAGAGCGCACGCCTCCCTGGCAAAGCACGTACCCATTCTTCTTCGGCAAGTAGGCTTCCATGTCGAAGAAGGCATTTTGCCTCTCCTTGATCTGGGTGCTGATCTCCTGAATGAGAGCAAACTCTTCAGGACTCGCTCTAGGCTTGCACCTGCAAGAACACAGAAACAAGATATTCCCGTTCATGTTTTTACTTCCTTTTCATTTAAAGGAAAATAATGTTGTCAATAAAATCCATGCTGTTAAAAAGCTAACTGCATGAATTGATGCCATTGTGCACTTTGCTCCTGTATTTCTGCAGCACCATTTGGCTTACCATGATTTTATTTCACTGCCTGGTTTACGCTGTTATAGGCTATTTCAACCAGCTCATTTATAAATCAGCTTCTCTTTTCATCTCAGCTCAGTGACAGGTTCCCTTACTTCTTCCCTAGCATGGGACTTACGGAATATTGTACTTTCTTGCAGGAACTCCTTCCACTTTGGGAACTTTGTGCGTGGTTTCAGGCACTGCCCTTGCAGAGGCTGCAGCTCTTCAGGCATGAAATATTTCAGGATGTAACAAAACACACAGCTGATGATTTACTGACAAACTGCAGTTTTACCAATTAATGTAAAACAGAGAGCAGAGCACAGTGACGTTAGCAACCCGTGGTGTCGGAGGCGGTGCTTTCAGACCTGCACACAAGGAATTTAGCTCATGGCTCCCAGGGATCACCCGAGCAGCTCCTGTAAATCCACCCAGGAGCGAGTTATACCTTCAGGTTCCAGGACTGATGCTGCTTTTCCAGCATGGCTTACGGAGCAAAGCTTTGCTCACCTAGCAAAACACGTGGACCAAAAACTGTACAGTCCTGCAGCGTACAGCACATACTGCAAGTATGCAAACCCACACAGGCTCCCTCAAAGATCTTCTTTATTTACAGGACTCCATCTCTCATGGGGTTACAGACATTCTACCTGGCTGTGATGGATGGAGGTGACTCAAGAATAATATGGAGCAAAATTAGCACCACAACACAGATTGCGTATTAAAATGCTAAAAATCCAAACATTTCAGCCCTTTGGGAAGGAGAAACATCCCATTCCTGCCTCCTCCACCCTCCAGATCTCTCGTTACCGTTGCAGGCTGTGCTTCAGATCCCTCAGTGTCTTCTTCTGCCGGTGTATGGAGCTGCTGCAGGCTGTCTGCAAGCTGGTGACTTCTTCCAGTTTCTGCCTGTAAATTTTGTGTGTTTCCTGCAGGAGAAGAGGAGATGATTGGTAGGAAGAGCCCTTCTAGGTTACACGTTGTATTTGGTCCTCACCTCTGAAGGAAGCAAGCAAAACCCTGTTTTTTTGGAGTCAACAGGCACCCCTGCAAACAAGCACGGAAGGGGTGATGCCAAACCAGCACGGATCCAACACGGCTTAAATGGACACTAACGAAATTCCTGCAAAAGGAAGAGCATCCTCTCTACGCTCATCTCATTTCCTCTTTCCAATGAGCTTTCCCCACTCGGGAGCTCCTCATTCCCATCCCACCCTGTAACGAAGCCCCCAATCCTCTGTTTGATCCCAATCTGTCCCCATCAAATGGGTGGCTAAATCACAGAGCAGGAGCTCTGATTTCACAGCCAGGTTAAATCTGGGGAAAAAAGAATAAAGATGAGGAAGCAGGGTGGGGGGGGGGGGGAAGACACAAAACCAGCTACAAATCCACACCTGGGGGTTTAGACGCCTCCTGGCCACCACTGCCATCTCAACCCCATGTATGTTCAAGCAACCTACTGCCCCATACTCTGGTTTAAGAGCTTAACCCATCCCCTCCCTGTGGCATTAGATGCTCCTCGAGAGGAACTTCTTTATCACAACTCATTGATCCTCTGAAGCCCCGAATTAGTGTTTCACTGGCCATAACCAACTACAAGCCCGCTGAGAGGTGCCTCTGCTCTCACACACCTCCCTCTGCTCGGGAATAAACACGCTCTGCTTTTCCACCCTTTGCAATGATTTCACCACCTTCCCAAGTGCAGGGAGACCTCAGGAAGGGCTAACCAGACACCAAGCAATGCCCTCTGGGCAAATTTTAAGATCTATAATAACTTGGAAAACAGAGTTTGCAGAGTTAGTGCCAAGAGAAGACACGGGTTAAATGGCTATTTGCACGTCTGCTTTATCTACTGGCATATCAACGACCACAGAAAATTACCACCAGTTTTCCCAGCGCATAAACATGGTGGTAAACCATACAAAACAAATCTTTGCTCTCCTCCTCATTAGAACCTGGCTGTTAGCTGTTCATTATTTCCAGGAGCAATGCAAAACAAGCTCCAGTATCTGATTTAAAAACCTTAATAACCAAACTAACCATGTCCAGACACCGCAGCTCTCATCATTTTAGGATTGGTTTGGCTTTGCTTAGCACGGGCAGGACTTCAGGGCTCACTGGATTGCACAGTAACTCCTGCTTCTCCAGATGTCACGCAACAACATCTTTTAAAAGACTGGTTCAAAGGGTGTAAGTAGCTCTTAGCCAAAAAAAGTGTTCCAGTATTTATTGGAAACACAAACAGGCAAGTTGAGAGCTGGTAAATTCTACTGCTGGCCAAAAACATCAGGATAGTGATTTAAAAACGACACTGGTATTTAGAAGAACATAACATTTGCTAGTAGTGAAGTTACTTATTCATCAAGAGAGGCGATTGCTTACAAAGGGGACCCACCCACAGCGTAGGGAGCTCAGCACTGCCTTCACATTAACACATATAACCCACAGGCCAAATACCTGCCCGGAGCGTCGGGTTTGGCCACAGCTCGCTCTCCATGGAGGAAACAACACGCACCGAAAAACAAGGGACCTGTGCACCAGGGAGAGGAGTATTTTTGCCCCGAGTTGAAGAGCTCCCAGCAGAGATATCAGAGTTGTCTCTGCACCCGAGTTTACAAGATTTACAGCGCCAGGGCTGTGACTGCCCAGTTTGCAAGTGGAAATCACACCGCCCAATTTGCCTGCAGACTAAGGGCAGGCAGCAGTTCTGCACGGCAGCCCCGTGCTGCAACTGCTTGATGTTTTCTGCAGCTACCCAGAAGTCTATTTTCCACTGCACTTGCAACAGCCCTGCTTATGGTCAGCACTTGTTCATTTGCAGGACTTAAACCGCATTCATGGGGAGCCCTTGCAGGGCTTTTTCCTCATCAAAATCTGGTTTAAGGGTTTCAATTAAAAAGCTGTTGCAGGGCAACTTGCATTTTTCCCATGTCCCTGCCCCAAAACTGCAATGCCCTGCAGCCCCGAGCTCTTTCTCAGGCTGCTGCTCCAGGGATGAGGTGCTGCCCTGGCAACCCAAACAACAAAAATCCGCAGATGTGGCTGGTTAGACGTGCTTTGCAAACCGGGATGTACCCCAGTCCCATGTCACAGCTGGCACCTGCTGCCCCGAGGGGATGGTCAGTGCTGCTGCGCAGCAGTACGAGCCTCTTCAAAGCCCCTCAAGTCGGAGCTCCCCAAATACAAGCATAGCCCCAAGTGCCCCATGGAAGCCACCCAGGACGTCAGGGGCAGGAGCTACGACCAGAGTCCAAGGTCCTCCTGCAGAAGGAAGACATAGCCCCTGACCCAGAACTTACAACTACAAGACGGGGCAGGAGTGCGGTGAAACAGATCATTTGGCCCCACGAGGCTGGCACTGCTCTCGACACACAAAAAAATCTGCCCACCATCATTTTTTTTTCCCTGCTGGCACTGCACAAGAGACCCTTTTAGTGGGGGTGACCAAAGTACCTTGGAAAACACCAATGGGAAGCTCCTTCCAAACGCGAGCAGCAGCTCCCACACCACCCTGGACCAGCATTTCCAGCTGGAGATGAAAGTCAGGCCAGCCAAAAAGAGCACTGAAGGGGGGTGATGCAGGTGTGGAGGAGGGGGATCAAGCTGCTGCCGGGAAAACAAGGCTCCTCAAGAGCAAGAGATGCTGAGAGTGTGTCCAAAAAGCCACGTGCAAGGGCAAGCATGAGCAGACACCCACACTGAACTACTTTCTTACTAAAGAGTTGGGTTTTCTACCCCAAGACATCACGGTTTGACTTGAATCCAGTTCGAGAGCACAGAGCCTTCCTTCAAAGCACGTTTAAGCACCACCAGCATCTCGCGGAGCTGGAGCAGAGTCACATCCTCAGGACAGCGCCGTGTTCCCCTCTTCTGCAATGCCGCCTTCAGATGTAAGCTCCACTTGTGAGCCCTGAAGTTCTCCGATAATGGATGTTATTCCAACTTTTCACCTCTACAGTACTAACCACTGGGCAATGATACCTCATGCCACCAGCAGCTGCCACCCCATCTAGAAGCATTTCTACTTCCCTTTTACAGCTGGGGAAACCAAGGCAGGGATAGGTCATTGACATTTTGCTGTGGTTTAGGGCAGACTTAAGCAGCATGCTCGGCGAGAAGGCCGGTCAGCACACACAGCAAACAAGTGATCAACAAAACCACACCAGCCAGTGCTCCCCCCCCAACGCGCAGCCACCACCTTTCCTTCTGTTAACAAGCATACAACCTGAACTGACTTTTAATTAAGACAATGAGCTAAATCTGGAAATCACACTTTTTTTTGCAGTGCACGTTCTGTTTAACAGCCTAAAAGAGGCTAACAGCCACGCAGAGAACAGCCGGTCATGTTTTAAAACTGGCTTAAAGATTTAAAGCACGTGTATAGGCACACACACAGGGAAGGGAAGGTTTCTGGAGGTAAAAGCATTTTGCAGAAACAGCTCTCGGCCCCTGCTCCGAGGTCTTTCTGTCCTTCAACACACTTGTGCAAGGCAGACAAACAGCACTGGAGTCCCTCATATCCCACCTCAGGAAATTAAACTCTGGCTAGATGCTGCCTGCAGCACAAGTCATTACCTGCGTCGCTCCTCGTGCCATGCTATGGGTGCAAGAAAATGCCAGGTCCCCCTTCTCCAGCCTCACTCTAGCAGCGGGAACCACAGCACCACGTGCCGCCTCAGACATACGCAGGGCATAGCCGTGGTTTGGGCTGGGATGTCCCGTGTGCACGTAGCACCTGCCTGGAGGTACCGGGGCACAGCAGTATTTCTGGGGTGCCGTGCAAAGGATGTGCATCCGTACACGGCTGTGCTTCGTGCATGCACCCCGGGCCTGCGGCAAAGGCGTCGTGCACGCGTGGCCCTGCCGGGAGCAGCCCACCCGGGGCCTCTCCTGGGCGCAGCGAGGAGCGGGTGAGCCTTTCTGCACCCCCGGGAGCTCCTGGCTGAGGCTGCCCCAAGGCGGGCGCCTCCCGAGGAAGGGGGTCAGCGGAGGGGACCCCCGGGGGCGCGCACCCCGCGCGGCCGGCCC